TTTACGTTAGGAACGCGAAACGCACAGTTTGCTGTTAATTGTTGTTCGTCAGATAAGATACCTAGAGTTTACGTTAGGAACGCGAAACGCACAGTTTGCTGTTAATTGTTGTTCGCTAGATAAGATACCTAGAGTTTACGTTAGGAACGCGAAACGCACAGTCTACTGATAATTAATGTTCATCAAATAAGATACCTAGAGTTTACGTTAGGAACACGAAACGCACAGTTTATTGATAATTATTGTTCGCCAGATAAGGTACCTAGAGTTTACGTTAGGAACGCGAAACGCACAGTTTATTGATAATTATTGTTCGCCAGATAAGGTACCTAGAGTTTACTTTAGGAACGCGAAACGCACAGTCTACTGATAATTATTGTTCATCACATAAGATACCTAGAGTTTACGTTAGGAACGCGAAACTGCTAAATTGTGATCATCAGGTTGTCAAGTACGATCGCATTAAAAACACACAGTATATCGTTAACTGCCAATTTATCACAGTCTGAACAATAAACAAAACTACATTGTAGGCGTGGTCTAGTAGTTACTATACCCGGAACGGCAATCCGAGGATTCCTAGTTCGCAGCTCATTACCACAAAAATGCTTTCTGCATTTGGGAGATTTGAATCCCCTATAAATTCTCACTATTCGGCGAAACAATACTTGGCGGTGGGTGCTGTTAACTAATTATCTTCCATTTATTCTATCATTTCAAAACTGGGGATGGCTAAGTGTAGATAGCTCTTGGTGGAGCTTTGTGTGAATATTCTGAAATAAAAAACAAACAAACAATTATAGTGGGAAAATTACATAGGCTACTCCTCTTTCAAACTTAATTCTCAACTGTAAGGTCATTAAATGTGACAACATTTTAAAGAATAAATATGATACAATGAAGAGTTATTTCTATATGTGAACCTTTAGACTTTAAATAATTTTTCAAGCACTTGGACAGATTATTGTAAATTATTGGTACAGCGTTCCTAACATATGTTAGATGTTTAATAATCATGTATTTAGTGTGTCTTCTGCTGTTGCTTCTTTCGGTAAGGTTTAATAATGATGTATGTAGTGTTTCTTCTGTTGTTGCTGGTTTTGTCGAGGTTTAATAATCCTATATTTAATTTTTCTTCTCTTGCTGTAAAATCTGTCTCTCGAACTTACAACACTAAAATCCTTGGTTCGATTCCCCACGGTTTGTAGGGCGGAGAAAGCCCTTGTACAGCGTTCTGCTCCAGCAGTAGAAACATATTTACCAAAAGTAAAGCTTTGAGTAAAATACATTAAACAATCAGCGATTAGTTTAATGTCGCATTGAGTCCAATTCTACATTGATTATCTGGACTCTACACTGAGTGGTCACAAGTAAATAGACACCTAATTTTTCGTCATTTAACTGATTTATGCTAACTAATTTGTTTTCACAGAGCACTATATAAATGAAAATGGTCCGCACACTAATTATATTGTGCTACAACATGCCTAGAACTCAAGGTTCTCTCTAATTGTTAGATTTTGTTAGAGGAAGGATAGTTGGTCAAGCAGATGGTGGATTAAGTCAGCGGCAAATTTCGCAGAATTTGGGAATCCCAC